CGGCTTGAGAAGCCTTTTGATCAAGATGCGTGTTTTGTATACTTGTTTATGTCGGCAATTTTTGAAGCTTATGTATTTTGAACATGTCGGCTCGAGAAGCCTTTTTCCAAGATGTAAGATGTATTTTTGTACTTCATTTCTATTTGTATCCAAGTTGTAAAGCTATGTAAAGATGTATGCCATTTCATTTGACTTTTGCACTGCTCTTATGGACCACTTATATTTTAGATTATTGCTTCCGCACTTGTGAGCCCCCTATATCTATACTCTGATTGTATGTGAATTTTGGCAGTTGGCCATCGGTAATCACGGATTACTGGCCATCACGGCACCAAACTACTAGGGGCGGTTTGGGGTCGTGACAGAATGGTATCAGAGCACAAGTTCCTTGGTATACGTTATTCACACACTTTGAGTCCTAAAGAGTATAGGATTTCCCATTAGAAGGAAGTTAGAATTGCATCATATTGCTTGCTATGTGAACAAGGTGTACATTTTCTCGGCATGCTTAACTGTTACTTGCCTACGTGATAACATGCTCATTTTGTTTTAAAGCCACATTTTGCATACTCATAGCATCATGAGGAGAGGAAGACCTCCAGTTGGTCGGGATCAGTCAGAGGACAGAATAGACAGGCTGGAAAGGCTGGTTGAAGGTTTGGCCCGCGAATTAAGGCAGACCAGACAGTAGTACGCTAGTGCTACATCGACTCAGGCCGAGCAGACGAACGGCCGGAATGCAGTTCCACCTCCACCCCCTCCAGTGCCGCAAGTGCCCCCACAGCCGGCCTTATATGGGGACGGCACGATAGCTTTGATTAGAGAGTTTAAGAAAATGAAACCGCCGAGATTTCAAGGAGGCATAGAGTCGACGAAAGCCGAAGCCTGGGTCTTGGAAATGGAAAAGCTATTCGAGATCTTTCCCAGCACCGACACCCAGAAGGTGACATTAGCAGCTTTTACACTAGATGATGACGCCCGCAGATGGTGGATGATGGTTCGAGACAGCAATCCAGGCTTGACCTGGACCCGATTTTTAGAATTGTTCTACACCAAGCACTTTCCCTTAAGTGTTCGGAATCGCAAGGCTACCGAGTTTCAGACTTTGACGCAAGGAAGTAGGACCGTAGCTGAATATGACCGTGCCTTTACCGAGTTGGCAAGGTACGCACCCCACATGATCAATGATGAATATATGAAGGCTAGGAAGTTCGAAAGTGGGCTCCGTGGACCGATTCAAGACCGGGTTAACATGCTCAACATGCCGACTTATGCCGAAGTGTTGGACAAAGCTATCCTGGCTGAGGCTAACTTGAACAGATACCAGGGTTCGGTAGAGAGCCAGAGGAAGAGGCAGAGTTATGACAACCGCCGAGCACAGTTTGGTACCAAGAAGAAAGCGAACGTCGGCAGTTCCAGCAACCCAAGGCAAGAGAGTGGTAGTAAACCGATATGTTCCAGCTGTGGGAAACCACATTTCGGGGTCTATCGTCGGGCGTCTGGGGCTTGCTACAAATGTGGTGAAGTAGGCCATTTTGTGAGGGACTGTCCAAAAACGAAGGCTGGGGAAAGTAAGAAAGATGAGAATACTTCGGGCTCCGTGCAGAAAGGTAACGCTGGGAAAGGACCGATGAGACAAGGCAGAGTTTTTGCACTGGTACCAGGGGACACTCAGAATACTGAGGCAGTGGTGTCAGGTACACTTTCAATTTGCTCTCAAAATGCATATGTATTGATTGATTCGGGTTCTACGCATTCATTCATTTCTGCTAAGTTTACCGAGAAGATTAATAGGAAAGTAGAGCCCCTTGATTTTGTATTGTCTGTGTCTACTCCATCTGGGAGATCTATGAATGTTGCATCCATCTATCGAGCATGTGTTGTTGTGATTGGGAATGTTGAACTATTAGCTGACCTAATGCCTTTGGACATAGCTCATTTTGACGTTATATTGGGGATGGATTGGTTAGTGGCAAATCACGCATCCATAAATTGTGTTTCTAAGAGTGTCACGTTAAAACCCCCAAACTTAGTCGAGGTCACGTTTCAAGGAAAATGTGTAGTATCCCCACCTTACTTAATTTCATCCATGAAGGCCTATAGGTTGATTCAAAAAGGGTGTCAAGGTTATCTGTGTAGCATATTAAGTGATTTGAATAGAAGAGTTGAGTTAGCCGACGTCCCAGTGGTTAATGAATTCCCCGACGTGTTGATAGAGAGGTAGAGTTTACGGTTGACATCATGCCGGGAACCCAGCCCGTCTCTAAAACACCCTATAGGATGGCCCCCGCCGAGCTTAAGGAATTGAAACTTCAACTACAGGAGTTGCTAGATAAGGGTTTTATTAGGCCGAGCACTTCACCCTGGGGAGCACCCGTTTTGTT